TATATATGTATATACATATAAATATATGTATATACATATATATACATATATATATATATAATGTTGCACATAACCCAGTACTGGCTTAGTAATCTAGCTGTACAAAACATTATATATCGCTATTCTAGCATCTAGAGATTTGTCCTGTGAGGTTTGATGAATCGTGAGGTTCGTAACATGCGTTTGGATCTTATTCTTTTTCTCTATTTTGTTTTTTCCTTTCTGTCTTCTGTTTCTTTCTCTCACAAAAAAATTTATAATTTTCGCTTTTCTAGTTTCCTTTTATATTATATCTTTTCATTTGTCCTGCTAATACATTTTACGTACGAGTTTCGCCTTGTCAGGCAACGAATCTTCCCGATTTCCCCCTTTGTCTCTTGTTCGCTTCTTATTGCGATTAAGTACATTAAAAAATACCGCGCTACTTCGCTCAGAATTAACCGGACCAAGCTATACATATATTAATATGTTCGGTGAAGCCAAGTATTATTTTTTTATTGATTTTTTTTTTTTTATTTCCGTTTACTTTATTTTCTCAGCGTATCTCGTACTTTGTCTCGTTTCATTGTCGTTTAATCGTCGCGATTTGCGCGTGAAAAAATTCTTTGTTTATAAGCGTCTAACGTGCTGTGCGCGTCTTACAAACAATCGCGACGAATATCTATCTTAAACATCTATTATCTTTTTTATTTTATTTTACTTTATTTTATTTTCGTTTTGTCGCTCGTTCTTCTTTTTCGTTTCGCCTTTTTCGACTTCAACCGAGTGTCGATCATTCGTTTGTTATTCGTCTTTCTCTTTCTCTCTCTCTCTCTCTCATCATGTTTCCAAACGTGAACTGTATACATACAATGTAACATACACAAAACGCGTCGCAGTTCGCGATCAGTCGAAGAGGAACTACGACGCGAGTCTTTCGATAAAACTGCTCAACGTATCAGCTTCGTCGTGCCGAGTCGAGTTGTCGTCAATCAAACATTAAAATCATCTCTGATACGAATACACGATCATGTGCTCTTTTGATTTTACAACAAAAATCAGGATTTATTGTTATAAAGTGTTTAGTGTTATAAAACGACTACGTGTTCAATATTTTCGTCGCAATAAGAAGAATCAGTTCAATAATCAAAGTATCGTGTATTCGTTCCTGACGTCCTAACACAGTGATAAAATTCAAGTGCGGAGATACGCATACACGACAACGCTCTTTTCAACAAATCCACTCGTCACATGGAAACCATGAGAAAACATCGTGATACGACGAAACACTTCTGATATTAACGCTATAACATGTATGTATGTATCCTCTGCCTAACAATCTTTCTTAAAAACTTAAATATTCAGATGTCTCTCATCGAAACGGATAACAATTATAGAACACGCCACCAACTTATCGTTTTATCGTTTTTCAACAATAATTTTATCGATTAACAATGAAACATTTTGTCACGGCGTGAACGATCGCGGAGAGACTCTGAACATTCTTTCTTCGAAACATACTCCATTATTATTATTAATATTATTATTATTATTCTTTCTTTAATCCTCTCCTTAATCTAATAATCGCCTCCCAGTGAAACTTTGCGGGCATATTCCTCCTCGTATTACTTTCAGCGTTTACACGATACAAAGTCTTTTCTTTTCGACGAGCTTGGTGCGCGGCTAACGCCTTAACTGGGACATTGTGCTACTCGATTGGGTGTGTAACAGGGCAACAGGGGTGGAGTGAGGTGGGACGGGTTCAGGATGGGAACGGGGAAGGCATTAGAGAGTTACTCGGTTATTTTTATTAAGAGTAATTAAGCTTGACGCCTCGGAGGTAGGGTCCAAGCGTTTGGACCGGGCTGAGCGTGGGGGGCAGGACGTCACAGTTGCTGGTCTCTGCACGGTACCCAAATGTTCGGGCCTGACTGCTCGGCGATCACCTCCTTCACCTTTACGTAGATCTCTTCCGGTGTGTCGCCTTGCACCACGGCTGTAATTTTAAGAAGAATTCAATTTCAAGCAGTTCAATTTTCCATGTCAATGATTTATTTAATTATGAATATTATTATTATCAATTGATTGAGATGGCAAGTAAATTAGCTGTGTGAATTTCGTGATATAATTCAGCGTTTCTTGATCTTCTTGTGTCGTGGTATAATGTATCGTGATTTGTTGGATCATGACCTAAATTAATTTTGCAATTTAAAATTATTAAAAAATTGATAGATTAGTTATATCATTGGATATATTAAAAAATTAGATTGCATTCTTGAAATATACCTTAAATATTAAATATTTCTAAGATTTCGAGAACCAGAATCAGTGTTTTAGGACGAGCAAACAATTGAATTAATGTTATGTTCATATGGCAGAAGTTAGAAAAGATATTTCGGATTATTTACCAGTAAAATATTCTCCGAACTCTTGCTCCATTTTCAGTGCTCGTTCATATGTTTTTTTCGCTTGTTCCTCGGTCATCCTCTTGTTCATTTCCCTTCGAATATCAATGATCGTTAAGCTACGCTCGAAGTTTCCAAATTAAATAAAAGAATTGTCACTTACATAACTGATTCCACGGATTTTGGTTTAATAAAGATGGCGATGGGATACAGCTGCGCCACTTGTAACCTTTTGATAGCGTTTCCACTCACGTCCAGAATACAGTGTTTTCCCTTAATTAACAGATCATTTTTATCATTCTATCGATATCGAGTATTTTTATTCGTATTTATGAGACTGTCTATTAAAATTCTTTTTACTTTTTCAGCGACTTCTCGCACGGACGCCACAGACGTGCCATAAAGATTGTCATTGTACTGTCCGGCCTCGATGAACAAATGATTTTGAATGTCCCTCTCCATCTGTTCCCTAGATGCGACAAAATGATAATCACGTCCATCCACCTCGTACTCTCTTCTACTCCTCGTTGTATCTGTGGAAATGAGAAACGTTTAACATTCTCTTTTTACTGGTAAAATAATTTAGAGTAACTTCATTTCCATGTAACAAATTTAATTTTCTGTACGACATTTCTTAAAATTATTCTTGAAGTTTTCAAAAATATCGTTGACTTACATCTGTACAAAGTTTAATTATAAGGTGACCACGTGTTTTAGCTTGAACTTATGAATCTTTCTTTTATTCGTCATTTTTTCTAATTCTAATTCTTTTTTCTTTCAGGTAAAAATCTCTTGGCCTCAAATAACTAGTTTAATTTAATTTCAAAGTATTGAATAGTATGAATTATTCTTAGAGAGAACCAGATACTTTAATAAATTGACATCAAAACAACTATTCTCTAAATTATCTTATATATATATATATCCAATACCATAGTATTTAACTTCGTTGTCTCATCCAAAGTAAAATACAAAGCCACCAGACAGACAGATGTAATAGAGAAAACAAGCTGTTTCGTTGTTTCCAACGTAACACGAAAATCCTCTGAAAATCTCAGGATCTGTCCCCATGTAACACGTGACCCAAATCAGAGGTAGAGGTAGATTAAAATCCATTTCAACTCACGTGGCACACAGCTGCCGAATTTGTCGGGGAATTCCGAGATGAGGTCGTCGTTGATGCGATCCTTGAGAGGACCGAGGATAATGACAGGTCGTGTGTACTGTATGGTGAGCTGCTGGACTGCCTCGTACGACAGCACGTTTTCTTCGCTGCCTGCAATTTCCGGTATAAGTATACTCGTGTTTCCAAGATATTTTTGAACATTGTGAAAGCTTTTGTTATCCTCGGGTTAGAAAATGTTTCTTTGCACTCTTTCAAACAGCTAAAGGAGACAAACGTTTCTCTATCGATCTTGAAACACGATCTCAAAATATCGATCTCTGTCGAGAGAGAATTAACAAATCGAAATAGTCTCGAAATTTTTTTTCTCAAGATAATAGATAGTAGATTGTATTATTTGTGATATATTCTGGTTAGAAATCATGTATACAGAAACGCGACCAAGGATTATTATTATTATTATTGTTGTTATTATTATGTTTGCTGTCCACCTCGATGGAGAAATGATCCATGCTTTAGCATCTAGGAGATCGAAGCAGGGTTTAAGGGAGTGAAAGGGATTGGTAAAGCTTCTAGAAACTTAGATCGAAGAGTTCGATGTGGCATTATTAGTTACGTGGCGACTATGCTATTATATACGATAGGGTTTTTGTAATCGATACTCGATTCTACGTGGTTGTAACGATTTTAATTTACACTAAAAAGCGTCGCTTCTTCGCTTCTTCCATGTTAATTTTTTTTTTTTTTTAATTAATTATTCAGTTCAGTCATTCTTTCAATTTTAACAATATCGATTCCATAAGAGGGAAATTTAAAGCGATATCGTCACAATCGAAAGCAGATACCGAACTAAACATTTGTTTCGTAAGAATTTTGACAAAGATTTCTTCAACATCTGTTGATATATGAATTTTTTAATTAAAAAAAACTTTATAGAAGCGACGCGATTTCACATCATCTACGCAGTAGTGACTGCGACTCTCGTTAAAAGTCTACATGAGGGTGAATAGTGTTACATATATATAAAGAAACCAAGAAAAAAACGGCAGACAACAGACAAGATAAAGCACGTCGCGACTGTCCCAATTGCGCGAAGCGTTTTCGGCGGTTTGTCAGTGCTCGTAGATATTACAAGTGTAGAAATTGGTGAAAAATTAAAAAAAAAAAAAAAAAAAAAAAAAAAAAGTTAAAAAATTAAACGGTAAAAGAAGGATTGTTTATATATCGATCGAAACTACGTTCGATATCGAGTGTTAGTCAAGGACCTAAAGAAATTGGTATAATATTGGTATTTGTTGTTCACTCTTGTTTTTTTTTTCCACACACTTTGATATATTTGATATTTTTTTTTCTTTTCTTTTTTATTGTGTATCACTTACTAAACTCGTCATTATTGTCATCGTCCTCCTTTTCCAGATAAACTAACGTCAGTTCCTCCATATAAGGCAGTTCGACGCGATATAAAATTTCTCTACTCCCTGCGACGCAAGACAAGAATTCTTTTTGTGAATGAAAAAGGTGGAGTAAGCGCGCGATGAGATGAGATAGGAGACGAGAATGAACGCGTTTATCGTGATATATCGTTTTATGAATATTAGGCCTCGAAAACGCTCAAGAGCGAAGCTTTTGAATGAAAGCTGGAGGACGTTTTATTCTGGTCGAATACTGTTGCTTCTTTTTTTTTTTTTTTATATGATCGATGAACGAAGGTTTCGCCATTGAATAAGATGTTATGGATGTTCGATGATTCATGTGTACGTGTTAATACAGGAATGGTATAGTTTTAAAACGAATATTAAATTCTTACATAGAAATAAATGTAAATTTTGGAACAAGTTGAGTGACTCAACTAGTGACGTGTCTTCGATTTTGTCTTGAATTTTGTTTCTCGTCATTCTTTTATTAAAATCTAACATTTCTCCTCCTGACTGATATTTTCAAATAAGTACACGAAGATTACGATTACGACGTAGTCTTCAAAAAGAAAAACCATAAATTTTACTTTCGACGCTAATAAAATAATGCAAACACGATGATGAACGAAGCTATTTGTATCAATTTTTAAGACACGTCACCAGTTGAAACGTAAAATCGCAAAAAGAAAAACAAAAAAAAAGAAAAAAAGAGGGAAAAACGAAGAACAAATAACGAAAAAATTCCACCAGTAAAAATATAGGATTCGATTGCTCGGCTCACAGTTGTTCCTCTTCGAAGTCGCTAGGTTCGTTAATCGACAACGCGGTATAAAGAGAGTGCGAGCTCTATTCAAAAGTGACAACGCGCCACGACAAAAGGACGTTGTCGAACAATGTGTTCGTCCCGCGAACGGATCGTTATATCGCGGTAATGAACGTGTGCTTTGTTAATTGATGCGACCGAGATGAAACGAAGAGAAGGGGGAGGTGTAGAAGGGGTTGGGGGAGGTTGGAATGTATAATGGTGGATTGAAATGAAAGACAGACAGAGAGAATGAGAGAGAAAAAGAGAGACGAGAAAGGAGATACAAATATAATAGGAGTGGGTGACACAGAAAGAAAGAAAGAAAGAGAGAGAGACGTGATTACCTTCGGTGTTAGTGTCGTCCTGGGTGTAGCACAGCATGAATGCTAAAACATAACAAGTTCAATATTTCAGTATACGTTGCGTACTAATAAGCGGCCGTTAATAATTGCTAGGATTAATTAAGCTTTAAGCATGAACAATCATCTCCCCTACCGTGACTGGCTCGAGCTTTCGAACAGTCTTGATTGGCCCATTGTGATAGCTCGCACGATCTCGTTTTTTTTTAACGCGAGTTTTAATTGTATCCACGTCGCTTCGTTTAAAAAAGCTTTGCAAATTCGACGATAATATATTCCGTTTAATGGTGGAAATATGATAGATGGAAAAAAAAAAAAATGAAAAGAAATTTTTTCAGATATCCAGTTTTATAATAATTGTTTCGAATCGAACTCGATTTAATTTTTTCGCATCGCGTTGAATGTATCGCGTGTGGACGTTCTATTCTCAAAGATCATTCTGTTCTTCTGTTCTGAGAGATCTAGTTTTATTATATATTTTCTTTTCTCGATCTGAGAGGAAATTTGCATCTCAAATTGAATTTTTCTTATCTTAAATTATTTATTATTATTATTACAAGTAGCTCTATAAGATGTATTTATTTATTTATTTTTCAAATGAAAAAGAAACCCGATCCTGCTAGAAAGTTGCACGGTTGCAATGCGCTTTCACCGTTCAAATTCTAAAAGTAATTAAGAATTCTAATTTTGCCACTTTTGTAGCAAACGGTGTTCTGCTCTCAGGCAGAATCTTGAGCCTCGCGTTTCTCAACTCACGTATCTATTCAAGAGCATCGTATTCAATATTTAACAAGGAACTTTCACACGGGTACAATCATACAATCTTCGTCAAAAGTTAATCAACGATTATTCTTCGCATCAATAGATTTCTTCGCAACAGTAAAATAATCATTTCATAGAGATGATCACTCGAGATTTTCACTTCGAGGGAAAAGAGGATCGAGCGGTCCACAGTCCATAAATATTACACGTGTCGAGATTCTCTACAAGCGTAACGAAGGGAGGCTCTCTCTACCTCTCTACCACAGAAAATATTAGCCAATATTAGAAAGCAAAGTTAAGTGTCGCAGCTTGCATGGTCGCGTGTTAATGATCAAACCCAGGCAAACACGTGAAATGCTGCGTGTAGTTTGGTGTGCCGGGATGAAGTGCAATGGGCAAGCATAATGTTGAAGAGGATGCACGAAAGAAGAGACCTCTCGAGAAGCGTGTAAAATGGTTCACAGGGTCGCTGATAATCGTTTCTTTTCATTTACTTTCTCCCTCTCCCCTCCCCCCCCTCCCCGTATTATAGTTATTACTCCTTCGTGGATTAATTATTATTATTCTTTTTTAATCGAAAAAAAAAAAAAAAGAAGAGAAAGAGATGTATGTGCACACGCACGCGCGTGTTCAGTGTATGGTATGAGGAAGGTATGTAGGTGTATCGTGTGATATTGTATCTTGTTTCTTCTTGTTGACTAACTTGTTGGAATACTTACGTGTAGGATCGTTTTCGTTCTCGGGTGTCGTGGGCGACCCTACACAAGCAGGCAAAAACAAAACACATGTCACGTTTTCACATGGTAAAAAAAAAAAAAAAACACAAAAGCTCAATCGGAAGTTGGGCGTATTCGTCGTACCTGTCACGGATTACTAAACGATATTTAAAACTTGCCAACACGTGCTTCGTGAGCGGGCGGAGATTGGAGAGACATTGAACACAATTATGAATTATTCTTTGAAAAAGAATACTTTTGGGTTGGCTTTGGGGTGCATGTTTCGATCAAAAAGATTATTTATTATTTGACGTTATATTTGATTGAAAGGGGAGAAAAGGTACGCAGAGAAAAAGAATAATCAAACGAAAGAGAGAAACACTTCTAGTCTTTCTATTCGTCACAATTCACATTTGAGAAAGAGAAAAAAAAAAAAAAACAAAAGGACGTCGATTTGATAGAAAGAACGTTGCATTGGGATATATCAAGACACGTAAGAAGTACTAATGTAAGTTCAAACACACGATCTAATAATAATAATAATATATATATATATATATAGTGACTGAGAAATACGACGAGAATAAAAAAGAAAAAATTATCACGTAAAAAACCACAATAGATAATAATATATACGGGTCTGAACATGCACAGAACGTGCAGGATTCTATGAATTCGCCATGTTTCGAGACACTCACGTTCCTGGTCCGAACCGTCCTCCGATTTATCGTCCTTGCTCTTCATGAACGGGAACTTTCTGCTGAACGAGAAGTTCTTCTTTTTTCTGTCCAGTGTTGATTGCTGCAAAAAGAAATGAAAAAAAAAAAAACAATAATAAATTAACGATTCTTATAATATCAATAATTCTGATCACTGAATACACATTTCACAATTTTCAAATTTCTTATTTCGTAATTACATATAGAGTATTTATCAGGCTTGAATTCTTCTGTTAAGGATCTTAGAAGAAAAAAAAAAAGCTTTAATTCCTTCGAAAAAAATAATAGAATCGATCTGATTTCTGATTCCTCGATCGAGCGAGCTCACCTTGTCGAGGATGACCGGCATGTGGCCTTGGAACTTGACGGAACGATCTCTGGCGCGTTGCTTCCGTTCCCATCGCCTGCGCGACGGTATTATGCCGAGACCCTCCTCCTCGCCCTGAGGAGTCACTCTTCTGGCTTGCCACCACTCGTCGTCGCTGGCATTCGTCACGTGTAGGATTTCACCGTAACGGAATGCCAAACCACGGCTCGGCAAGCCGTCGTCCTTGTTGGGATCGTAGTCGAACAACGCTCTGCGAAAACGTTGGACGAATTTTGGCCATCGTCGATCGACTCGATTCTCATTCGAAGAAATTACATTTCCCCCTATTATTAATTATACCCTACCTGACGTAAAGCGATTTCTTTTGCGAGGTCCTCATTAGGGTGCCTGTCATCAAATTCTGTTGAGAGATCTGTTGTTTAAGATCATGGATCTTAGCCTCGAATCTGTTGTAATCTTCGGGCTTGTACTGTACCACGATCGTCACTGTCTGCCCGGTGCCCTGGATGGAATATATACTCGCAATTTATGATGGAAACGAGAGAAAAATGTTCGAAATATCAAGAGAATTGTGAATTATACGATATGAAATAATATTTTTCAAGCGTTTCTCGAAACGAAGGGAGGATCCTTCTCTCTTTTTTAGGTACCTTGAGGGCCGCGGCGGCCTCTTCATGGGTGGCTGTCCGAAGATTAATGCCATTGACACTGAGTATCTGATCGCCACGACGTAGTTCACCGCTGAGATCGGCCGGGCCCCCGGCTAGGATGAAGGAAATAAAAATTCCCTCGCCATCTTCGCCACCGACGATGTTGAAACCCAGTCCGGAGGAGCCTTTGTTGAGCACGACTGTACGTACCTCTCTGGAAAATGGGAAAAGAAGAAAAGAAGGTTTAATTACCACCGCGCTCCCAATTATATACCTATTTCGATCGAATTTTCATTCGTTAATCTCGATTATCGCGTGACCAAGTTAAGGAAGGGATCAGTTTCAATCTTAATAATTGAAATCAAAGCAAGTAAAGAGCGGTGCCAAGGCGTATTGTTTCGCTCGCTGTGCCTTTTGAGAAAAGAGAGAAAGATATTTTTAATTCTCTCATTAAAGAATACTTCTCGTCTCGAGCGAGGAGTAGGCAAGACGATTCTCGAGATACTATTTTTCTCCCCCGAGTTTAAGGGGTTAAAGTTTTTTCATTAGAGGTTCCAAGTGGTATCGAGTTCTTAAACTATGTTGCCGGCCATTAATTGCTCCAAAACTTATATCGCTTTAATTAAATTCGTCGCGACGGTGAGGACGGGAAATCAGTTTAAGTTTAAGAATCTTCGAAACAAGCACATACAAGAGCGTGCAATGATCGCAATAAAACACACTTGTTATTTCAAGCGAATGATGAAATTAAAATTCTTTCGTCACGTCATAAAAGAGCTTGTCGGCAAGCTCATAACACGACTGTACGAGAGAAGATTGTTTTTTAATAAAAATTTTTATCTTCTTTACATTTTTACCACGAGTAATGCTCTTTCTTTAATATCTAAATGTTTTTTTTTCTTTTTACAGGATCTGTAATTTTTAATCTTAAAGGATCACGTTCATCATGTCGAAGTATAGAAGTATATTAATTTTTAAAAATTTGCTTCACTTCGCTTCTTCACGGAGAAAGAACATCATCATCATTTGAACATCGTAAAAGATAATGGTAAAAATAGTTGAAAAAGTCGTCCAATTGGATAACGAAAAAAAAAAAAAATATTCAATTTATCCATTTCCTCCATTCGTTTTCTTCTTCGAACCAATATACGCTATATTCTGTAAAGATTCATGGAAAAACAATGTAATCAAGATCGACGAGGTTCATCGAAAGACAGATAAATCTCGAGCCGTATGCGCTGGCCATTTATTCTCGTTACAAACGATGGTAGACACGGAGAGGGAGAGAGGAAAAAGAGAGAACACGAAATTCCTTGCTCGTGGAAAGGTTCTGAAAGCTTAGGCAGTTAATCACCGCGAGTCGAGGGATACACAATCCCCGAGTCAATGGACAGGACACGAAACAATTCGCGGACAGAATCTGCATTGTCCGCGGGATGACTGGATTTTAAAGGCTTCAACACGTTCAGAAAGTTTCGTTTGTCAATATTACCACCTCGTGCTTGTATGTCGATTGCCTGTCGATACGTGTGGTTCGATGGAATTTCTGTAACGAGAATATATAGGTCAGATGTATGTACAACAATTGTTAATGTAATTGACAAGGATTCTCAGCAGAAAATTAATGGAGTGGATTTTTTAAATTGAAATGAGAATTAGATATCTACATTTCTTTTTTTAATAAATTCTATTTCATTACGTGATAATATAAATCTACATTATATGTGACTGAACGTATTAGAAAATATGTGATTTCATTTGAAAAGGAGCAAAATTGATTATGATGACGTACGCTTGTAAAGAAATTAACAAAAATATTTTCCAGTAATAATAAATAATAATTTGCAAATTATTTGAAATAATCGCGTTACATAATTCACTCTCTGCACCTCGACGTCTGGAAACTTGCTTCCTGTTCACGGTTAAACGGAGTAGAGATTTTTGAAAATGCTTCTCAACGTATGTGATGAAATTCAAATAGATGTACGAAATTACGGCGATAATTAAGCTTCCTATTGAAATTCAACCGTTTCAAGTTGCCCGTGTGACGAGGCTCGAGTGACTGGTGACGAGGGTTCAACAATCTAAGGATTCGTGAAAATGATGAGTAGTCGAGAACACGTGTCGTCCTTTCATCTGCGAAAGCGTTTATTTCGCATCCCTTTGTTCGAATAATCGATTGTAGTCACTTTCGTCGAGATTCGTACTGCATGATACGTAGAATTTGAGAGAGTTTGAGAATTCGAATATGCAAACAGTTTGAATTTGTACATTCTCGGAATTAATGAAATTAATGTGACGAGAAGAAAACTGATATTTCTAAAATTAATAATCCATCGTGGAATAATGAAAAGTGATAAAAGAATATTCGAAAATGTGTTCACGAGTGAAAGTATCGAATTTGAATTGATAATATTAAATTCCAGAAGAAATTATCAAGATTCCATTATCACAGTTGGACGATATAGTTTCTCAAGATTTGAAAATTCGAAACAGTGAGTATTAAATTAATAAGAGAAACGGTATATATATTTAAACGAGTGGAATTTCAGAATATAGTTGTAACTAAAAGTTTAACAATCCTGGAAAAATTTCGACGCAAAGTCTTTTTCAAAAAATGAATTTAAAAACTTGAAACATCTCCCTGCATCGAATTTGCGTCCAGGAAATTGGTAAAACCGAGTTCCATAATCAGGAAATCAGCGAGATTACAGCATCGCAGTTGCGAAATCCAAGATATTGGTCCATCCAATCCTAAAGTTATCAGTATAGTATCAAGTTCTATAGGGTAGATGCTATCGTTGAAATTAGGTTGAGCGTCTCAGACATGTGGGTGTCGCTTAAGGTAGATTCGAGGTCGCAATATCGTGCCACTGTTGCACCATAATCGAATTCGAGATCGAAACAACACTTTAGCACAATTGCTTCTTCAACAATATCCAATGTGTTCTCAACTATAAAAAGTTTTCAATTTACAACTTGATTATTGAAAGAATTAACGTGACGGCAACAAAAGTTGTAGAAAAAAGGAAATACGAGGCGTTTATTACACCATTACGTATCGTGAAGTAAAAATGGCCGAGGCAAACTGTATAATCGGTGCACGAGTCGCGAAATCTAGAATCACGTGCAGCAGGTATACAACTAGGATAGCCTTAATTAAACCGTGGCGCAAAATCTCGACGAGCTACGAATTTTTTTTCTTTTTTTTTTCTTTCGAGAGTTCTACACACCAGTCGAGAGAAAGAGAAAGAGAGAAAGAGAGGAAATGCACGGTATCCTAATTAAGATTTCCGTGAAAAATTCGAGTCTATTCACTCATGGTTCATTGCTTATAAGCATTGCTGCATCCACGAGCGGTTAAACCCGGCATCAAAATCTGGATTCATCGTCTCTTTCTCCCTCTCTTTTTTTCTTCAGCATCTTTCTCCTCTCTCTCTCTCTCTCCTCTCTCTCTCTC